GAGGTGTAAAGTCACTACAGCCAAAGATGTCAGGGAAATGACACCTACGGGGCCACGGGGATCCCTTTTACGGTGGCAGGGAAGAGGAGTGGAGCAAAGAGCAGATCTAATGGTCAACATGAGGGATCTTTACCCAGGTTCGGGCCGCTCGGAAGCGTAAAACCCTAGTCCTGCTTGAGTGTATATATGTGTTCTTGAGCTCTGGCTCCAGGAACGGTATGTGAGGAACAATACACAACAACTACCCATCTGAACTCGGCCAGAAAGTCCCCCTCCCGTAGTTACGGCTTGGGCCTCCTTTTATATGTCCAAGGGGTCACCAACAGTGGCGTACAGTGCACAAAAGAGGTGTAAAGTCCCTACGGTGGTATCACTGACAGTGAATTTAAATGCGCCGCTTGGGTGCATGGCTTCTATTCGGCCACCAGGAAAGTAGCCTGCCTAGTCACCACCGCTTGAGCATCTAGCCATGCCATCTTGACACGTGCTTGGGAAGACTCCAATAGAGGTAGTTCTAGAGCCGTGGATGAATACGTGGCCAGGCAGTCCTCATCTATCTAATGACCTGCCTATCATTGATATAGAGCGCCGGCAAGGAACCTTGCTTGCCGGTCCGAAGCTTGCCGGGTCAATACTTGCCGGGCGGCAAGGAACTTGCTTGCCGATCCGAGGCTTGCCGGGGTCTGGCTTGGCGGGCGGCAAGGAACTTGCTTGTCGATCCGAGGCTCGCCGGGGTCTGGCTTGGCGGCCCGAGAGACTCTGCTGAAGTGGTTTGGACTTGATCTCGGGCATGGTCTCGACTCCGCCAGACTCGTCTACCCGGCAGGGGAGGCCTTCCTGGGGGATCTTCTGGTAGGTTTGCTTGAGTGTTGATCCATGCCGCGGGAGAGACGCTCCCCGCGCGGCAGTAGTGCTTGCCGGCGAAATGATTGCCGAGCGTTGCTGAGCACTGTCATGGCCCATCTTCAGAGGTTAGTGGGACCGACATTAACGATCTCAAACTTTGGTCCTTCAGATTTAAAGATCCTACAAAGAAGGTTGATATCTTGTCTTGGTGTCAAAACCTTTCTTCACGAGCACGCCCGCGAAAAAAGAAAAATCTTGACGCTCTATCGCTGTCTTGTAATACTTCATGTTTGGCACCTTTGAGCAATGTATTAAGGTGGAGATCCTTTCCTCCGGCGATTGTTTAAAGAAAAAATGGTCGAGTATTACTCCGCCGGTTAGACAGTCGAAATGTAGAAACAAGGACGCATCAGATTACATCGAGCTCAAGCATTCCAATCAAGGGAGATCCCCAAGGGAATCCATCGAGCAGTCAGAGGGCGACTCGAACAGTCAGCTCAAGGTCGCTGCGAGGATGAAATCAACAAAGGAGTGCGCATGCAGTGGGTCCAGGTCAGAGCAGACCATGCAGTGCAGAGTTTGTGCAGCGCTCCAGAGCCCAGACCGGCGGCATAGTTGGTTCTTTTGCAAAGGGCAGGAGAGGAGCAGCACATTATGGGCTAATCATGCCAAATGCAAAGGCACCAAGCCGCAGCTTTTTACCGCCCTTTGATGATCCCCCCTTTTCCCTATCTTTCTCCTCATCATATGTGTCATCATGCATTGCACACCCACACACTAAACACGCACTCCTTTTCAACTTTCACCTTTTTACCACTCCAAATATTTTATACTCCAAACACTAGCTACTCTCTCTCTCTC